ACCTTGACCAAAATAACCCTCAACCTGAAGAGTCCACTTACTGAGTCCGTGGTCCAACCGTTGATACCGTAATATGTCGAGGATGTTCAAAGGAACGTCGTAGTATGTCGTAGATGTTTGAAATTCAGGGTTGCGAAGAATCCATGTGAGTACGGAGAGCAGGAAATCTAACTAGATGGACCAGTAATTGTCGGTACGTGTTGATGGTGAATGGGAAGTCAAAAGGCAACCATGTGTAGTTGCAGGACAATCGCCTTGTTGGATCACATAAAGAGAGGGGGCTAGGGGACATCCTTTTCTATGTGACCGAGACACGGTGAGGTGGTCTGATTTCTTCTTTTTTTTTTCCTTTTTTTTTTATACAAAGGGGCCCATAGGGCTCAAATATGATCCTCTTGCAAAGCCTCATTGGAAAAGCCCAAAAAATGCGGTGTGGCGTATATTTATGTCGGGAATTAGCCTGAAAAAAAAAGGTTCAAATATAAATAGAAATAAGAAGTTATAGTGAAACTGACCGRCCCTATGCACTTCAGGAATTTTGTTCATCTGGTTCCATCTGGATTCGAACCCAGTRGTCGTTAACGACGTAACTTGACAAGTTCAATTAACCAATCATGATCTAACACGAACAAGTCAGACGAGGACACATTCAAACATACACGACTGACGCAAAACTTAAAAAGAGCAGAAAGGAGAAGGAGAAAAGAAAGCAAGTAGAAGGCGCACAATAGAAGTCAAAGTCGAATATCCTGAACGCGACGTTAAAATTTAGCATAAAACACAAAATTGACTGCATGATAATCCAGTAGGCGAACGACCCAACCGGTTTCGGCTGGCCGCCATACCAGCCCTCATCAGGGGTCTTAGGATGTTGGTATGGAACAGGACTATAGACTTCCATACTTATCGTAAGAGGAAACAGTGAAAGTGTCTATTCTAGAAACTAACAGTTCACCAATCATCTAAAAGAACCAAACTTCGAGGCCACAAACCGACACCGATTTACCGGTCTGCCTACATCACCCTAGCCCAGAATCAACTGTCACCAAGGACTCCACGTTTTTAGCCGTTGATTTGCCGCTACTCAGGTCCAATGCCTGAAAACCGAATCGCAGTTCGAGAGAAAAAAAAAAAAAAAAATGGTTCGAACCCCCACCGTTGTATTCTTCAAGGGGGCTAAGGTCAATGGTTCGAATCACGCTTTAGTACTTCACTCACGGAGTACATGCAGGAAAACATGAAACAGAAAAACAAATGACCAATTGAGCAACTGCAGACCCCTCTTTCATCTGGTCATTGAGACCAACTACTACATTGTAGACCCTTCTTCCACCCTGTAAGAACCGAAACCCGTTGTCGTCATATCTCACCGAATTTCCTCGAAAAGTTCAAGAGGGCATCATCAAAGATATCATCAGGATACGATTGACGCCATATCTTAGTTTTTAAAGTAAAAAGAAAAGGAAATATTGTGCCCGGAAAAGTGGCGAAACGTCTCGCACGATGAAGAAAGGAGCTGACAACCGTAACCTTCTGCTGTTATAGGAGTAGGAACAATTATCCTGGATGCTCTGGAACATCAGCCTTTCATTGACCGAGCCGCGTTGGTTCTTATGACACGGCATGCAGGCTAACCCTATAGAGTCATTGAAAATTTTAAGGAGGCAGCCCAAATAATCCCAACTGTCGCTCGTACTAGTGTTCTCCAACGTCGGTCTGTCATCATAACACGACTCGAACAACCGAAAAGTCTCCTCAGCAGATGCCTGTGCATTCTTCTTACATATTATAAACAAGGAAACATCATCAACACGACGAAAGCCATTGACGAGCGAGCGATCGGAACCGAGAGATGTCAAAAACACAAATTCATTGTAGGCGCAGAGAAGGCAGGCCAACACTGGGCTTGACAATTTTCCCATTGGAATTCCTATGTTCTGCGTCGAGATTTGACCGGCCAGCTTCAAGATTTGACCGACCACATTAACCAAAGTATTGTCATGCTCAAAACGAACAAAAGTCAAAATCTGCGATAGCTCGACATAGTGTCCCTCTTCATATTTCCTTTTTACGAGTCTTGTGTATTTCCCTCTCTTCTTCACAGCCACAATACATAATTCTTTCTCAACCCAAAAATCAGTAGCCCAACTTAATGCAGAAAGGATAGAGGAATGAGGGAGAACCTCATTGACTAGGTCCTCGGTGCATCATAGATTAAAATTGCCAGTGGACTGCCTTGGTAGGTTCCACAGTATGCAGTTGACTGCCTTCGAAATAATTTTTCCACCCGCCATTTAGCATTCCGAAAACAATGGACAAATAAGTCGCCACCTCCCCGTGTCTTTGTGCTTGGGCAGGCAGTACGCCTTCCCAAGTTCACCTCCCTCATTCCATTTTCCAACCTTGTTCAACTGAAGTAGCCCATATGACTGCGTCATCCGTTTCTGAACAGAGACCTCTTCTTCGTCAATCTTGCAAAGGTTGGATTCTCCAAAAACAACGTATTCATGCCAGTTCGATATACGACGGGGTAACAAATAAAGGTGTCGCCCATATTATGATCAAGCGGGCAGCAGACCAGTCCACTCAGGACCTCACGATATTGAAAAGTTTCATCTATGCCACAAGTGCGCAAAGCCGATTCTGAAACGAGAGAGAGGTTGAAGCACAAGTCTAGTTCCGAAAAAGCACAAGAATCAGGATCTACATCAGGGAGCGATGAGAGAGAGTGAAAAGCATTAAGGATTTGTTTCCTCAGAGAAGCTTCAGGACGTGATCGCGAGGGCATAAGGATATTTTTACTGTTCTTTATCCAGTCAGGGGAAAAATCCATCTCCGAAATTTTAAAAGCAACATGGCCATCGTGACGGGGTAGAGAATCATAAATTTGACCACAGACACATGAAACAAAGCAACTTCTCGCAGTCTGTCGGAAATTGTGCACTATGTCACCAATCGTGCGGTTGCGGCACCACACCACTCGCATCCTCTGCACTAGGACTTCTTTCCATCAACAGAAAAATCTTCAAGAGAAATGAAAGTTGAAAAAACATTCCATAAAAAAAGAATCCGTCATATTTATAAATTATCATTTTAATGTTCGTCCAATTCTAAAATTTTCAGTTTTATTTGATAAGTTATCGTCTAAATATGAGTTTTCCTTTCCAAACTACATCTGTTTGTTCAAGATGGAATGAAAGTCTGGATGCGTTTATGAAATATTTTAATTAAATTTTCATTCTACTACAACAAATATCTTCTAATTTAGATTGGATTAACCTATTTATGACTGAAAATCCTTACTTAGAATGACAGTCCAATTAAAATATTTCATGAACTCATCCAGACTTTCATTCATCTCTAGTATGCAGTCCAAATAAGAAGGGATACCCTATTCTTGGAATGAAAATTTGCAAGTAAGATGAAAAATTTTAAAATTGGAATGACATTTTTTAAGATGGAATAAAAATTTGAAATTTAGATTGTAATTTTACTATAGAATGATTATTTCATTCTGGAAAATTTTTCAGTTGATACCAACAGAATGTCTAAACCAAATACAAGTCGTGCGCAAAGCTTCCGAACCCTTACCTTGCTGATTGACTCATCAAACACGATTCAGACTACCAACCGCTGCCTTACATGCACTTTGAACCACAGTGAAATAAAACGGGACAATATCTGCCTAAGTCTGCAACGCGTCCTCGTTTCACTAAATGTGCGTACAGCGGTAAACTTCAGTACTAGTGATTCAAACGACCATGCAGGAAGTTGCAGTCTCAAGGGAGGGTTACTGAGAAAACTAGCCAGTGTGGGTTTCAATGCAAGGGATTTGCTCAATAAGGGAACGACGAATTCATAAATTAACGTAGCACCATCAACAATCCATCCTCGGGAATGTTGAAGCAACCCTCGGCCATATTCACACGAAACTAGAGACCCGTCGTAAGATCGTCTGAGTACCTTCCACTTATCTAGAAGAAATGGACCATCACGACATACAACTACACAGCGATAGATCGACGATTCACGACACTTCTCAAGAATCGAAAACAGACGATGCGAACAAACACTGATACTATAAAAAAAGGAGAACAGGGATTACTTGCTCGGTTGACAGGAGTTCACCAGCCCACCCTTACACTTAGCTTTACGCAACCTCTCACGCAACCCCAGGCGCTGACTTCGAGCACGTCGCTTCTTAGCTTTTATATTCAATGACGGGGAGAATAATCGAATAAAGTATTTTTAACATGACTCATGATCATTTTCAGAACACACACACACACCGGAACAACAAAGTAATACTGCGGACCGTGCTTACGTAACCACCGATAAAGACGCTCATTCCTCTGCCCTTTACTAACAAGCTCTTTGTTACATGGCCGATAAACGTGTTCACTCCAGCGGGTGTCAAGATCCCTAGACGTACTCCTAACATACACGTATCGACACCATGGGGATAACAGGACGTAAACCACCGGACCCTTCTGCAAAGAAAAATCATACCCGTCATTCAGTAACTTACCCACAAAGCCACACAACTTAACGCCTCATGGAGTATGCCCCAAATTATTTAGTAGAAGTACCAACAAACACGCCAAAATGTTCAGTGGTTTTGTACGAAGAAACTCACTAGAAGATATTCGCAAATTGACACAACATTTGAAAAGATTCCAAGCCGACGCCACATTCGGGAACAAAACTACGAAGTGGCAGAATCATCGGTGACCTCCGTACTATCGTCGTTGACCGGTCCAACGTCGTTCGTGACATCATGAATGACCACACCCCCTTTAAGTAAGCCAGACTCCCCAAAGGCTGCATCCGTACGTTTGTATGCAATTTCTTCTTTCGTCTTATCCAGCGTTGTGTATGTGACACCTTCATCCGCGCAGATCGTCAAGACTTCTTCTTTCTTTTTAGACTTCAAGAACCTCCGTTGTTCAACAAAAAATGCATCACGCTTGTTGACAGCAACACCCTTCGTCCTTGGTGTCATCAGTCGCTTTCCTTTATCCAACATGGTCGCCGCGGCTCCATCCAACCGAGCTTTCAAGTTGGAGGCAGTCGGAGTGTTCTTCCCTATTTAAAAAAGAACTAACTTATCCTTCAACCGATCAACCTCCTGCTCTGCCTCATGTCTCCCATTCAGTTTGCAATGCCTCCATTCTTTGAGTCTCTCAATTTCTTGTTCATGATGTTCCTGATGAGCCATCATTTCTTGAACCTTTTGTCTATCGACTGGTAGTGAATGTTTCGGAGTTACCCGAGCCCTCGTCCTGGTCGTTGGTATCGGAGGAGGAGTAACTGCCACGCATCCCCTCTTATTCCCTGGCCGAAGAGTCTCCAGCCTCCAGGTTTCGGCAGAATTCAGAACCTCCTCATTAGCTTTCTTCAGTCTCGCAATCTCTTCCTCCATTACCACAAATCTATGGTCCGCACGTCCTCGCTCCTCTTCAAGTTCGCGTTTGTACTGGTCAAAATCACTCTCCGAAGTTGAGCACCCACCAATATTTTTCTTTTGTACCATCTTCAAATTTTCAATCTCAAGTCGTAGCTTCACAACCTCGTCACATTCCCTTCCTTTAACTGCTTTTGTTTCGAGTAACTCACGCACCGGCTTGAGTTGCTCCGCAATATTGACGTTGATCTTCAGGTGAAGTTCCTCCGTCTTCTTCTTCTCACGTGCACGACGCTCCTCATCTTCTTTCTCTTTCTTGATTATTTTTTCTTCCTCTGTCTTGATCCTTTCTTGTTCCACAACTGCATCTCGGTAGGCCTTCAGTTCCGTAACTGTTGTCTCCAGCGTTTCGACGCGCGGCTTGAGGCCGCCACCATAGCCGTAACCGAAATTAACATAATTTACCCCGGTAGCTGGGTAAGTAACTACGATATTCCTTTGCGCAGGTACAATAGCAGTGCTGGTATTAACGTTCGCAGTGAAGCTACCAACTAACCTACGGTCAGGCAGAGGATAGAAACGTGACAAATGTTCAGGCTGCCCGCAATTGTAGCAATTGCGGACAATCGACGACGACGGGGCAAGATTAGAAGTCATGCTGCTTGAACCGAACGATACACAAAGCCACTCGCACGTAGTATGACTTCTACGACAGTTACCTTGGGAGAGGAAGTAGTCGTTAACGACGTAACTTCACCAGTTCAACAAGCCAATCATGATCTAACACGGCCGAGTCAAACGACGACACATTCAGACATACACGACTGATACAAGACTTAGAAAGAGCAGAAAGGAGAAGGAGAAAGAAAAGGAAGTAGAAGGCGGACAACAGAAGTCAAAGTCGAATATCCCGAACGCGACGTTAAAATTAAGCATGAAGCACAAAATTGACTGGATGATAATCCAGTAGGCGAACGACCCGACCGGTTTCGGCTGGCCGCCATACCAGCCCTCATCAAGGGTCTTAGGATGTCGGTATGGAACAGGACTGTAGACTTCCATACTTTTTTCTTTCTTTTTGGGTTTATTATAACAAACGATGGGATGAGGCCGGGGACCTCTCAATTCAACCCAGACTTATCCTGGCAGTATCAGCCAGTTGAGCTTACGAGCAATGCTCAGCTCTAACTCACTGATTTAACCTTGTCCTAAGCCAGCTAGAAACCGGGTCCAGCGTCCCATGCTAAATAAAACTTTACAAAATTAAAACTTTAAGCGTATGTAAGAAAAGGGGGTACCATTATGCTCTACTTCAAAGCTCTGAATGGACGAATCCAACTTCTAAGAGCATAGTCTCATCCTCTCCATTCAAAAGTGTCCAACCTCCCCCACATAGACTCAGAGCAACCACTCAAGGATGTTGCTGGTTCTCGCAGGAAAGAAGACGATAGACCGCAAGGGGGGTGGGTCCCTCCTATTGCTTGACCCTTCGATGCCAAACTTACCAACAGGACCTAAGTAACAGACAACCTTAACGCGACCTACAATCAGCCTAAAATCCCTCAATCATGGGTATCAGACAACCAGGCACAGTAGGTAAAACGACCCTCTTGGTTGATAGACGTTAGTCTGTTGTTTTGCGTCCAGGTTTTCTGGAACCATACGATATTCTTGCGGTGCCAATCCGCTCGAATTATTCTTCTTATGCCGTGTTTGATCTGCAACTGTTGGTGTTTTTTTACTATGTCTTCCCCTCTGAACACTCTGGCGTTTCTGGCAACCCAAATGGTTTCCATCAACACTACACGACAACAAAGGGCAACATAGCCCCATCCGATGGAATATGGATGGTTCTGAGGAAGAATACCTGTCATTACCCAAGAATCTGACCATTCGAAACTCCCTCCTGTTATACGATTTCAATGCCCTGTCCACCATAGGTTGATTTCATCTGCCAATGGACAGCAAAGCCAGAGGTGGTACATGTTTTCCCACCCCAATTGCATATCAGACATTGTGAAGATATTTCCATCCCCTTGGCCGCCAGCCACATAGCCGTTGGGGTAACGAGAAGGGACTGGATCAATATGAGACTAGCTTGTTTCTGGACTGGATACTTCCTCAATGCTCTCCATAGTTTTAAGATACTCTGTTCTATGACCCCTGGCAGCTGATAGGTTGCCGCCCTATCTACTGCCAAGGTCACAACTTTCTTTTTAACTTTCCCTTGAAGTGCTTGTACTCCCGTCTTCACACAATACCGACAGATGGGGGTAAAACTCCCTTTTCCTTCCTGATCCTCCCAACCCAAAAGTAATAGTTCCACACGGTATGTAACAGCATCCCGTAGCAGAGTGACCTTCTCCTTTCCTTGTTTCACCTTCTGGACTTGAACTCTGACCTCTATCATGTCCATAGTATGATCCAGATGTATGTCCTTGTCCTCCATAGTCAAAACGGCAGCGTCCGTGAGGCCGAATGGTACTTTTCATTTTTGAACTCGAACGCTAGTAGGCAGATCTTGGCCTAGTACTTGTATAACCTGGTCTGGCTGCGTCGTGTGCTGGAGCCAGGTTCCTGTAAGGTGCTCTGTGTCAGGTTGGAGTATATTAATCCATGACTCAAGGATGGCTTCTATCAGGGTTAAGTAGTGAGACCATACATTGTGTAACCTTGAGAGTTTTCATCTGATCTGAGTTATATCCAAAAAGACTGATGTTCGACGTCCCAGATATCCTTAAGCTGCATTATTCCCTTCTTTATCCAACCCGCTTCGAAATTTCCGGGAGAATCTGGGGCCACAAAGCAAGACCCATCCGCCTGCTTAATATAAGGATTTTCAAACAACAACTGATTAAGCACCATCAGCTTGGACATCGGGGGGCGGTAGTCTGACGGCATAACCTTCTTCCAAGCTCCCATAATACCTCTCCAGATCCTAGAGTTAGACCTTCAATTGCAGAAGGAAGGCAACAACAGGCATCGCCACACCTTGGTATGGTCTTGCAGATCTCACTCAGATCCCAAGATGTACTCACCTAGTACCATCCAAATTCTAGATTCATGTTCCTGCATGGCCAGAGCAGGCCATTTGGCCAACATGACAATGTTCTGTTGTAGTGGATCCAACACTCCCAGCCCCCTTTTCTTTCTCGATGTCACCACTACTTCCCAAGCCACCTTAGAGAGGAACCCCTGGTCCTCTGTGGCGTTAGGCTTCCAGAGGTATCTTGCTGAGACCGCTCAAATCTTCTTATATGCCTTGTCTCCCAAAGCATGTATAGTCAACGGAAACCAGAGAAGAGAGAAGGTCGAGGTAGAAAGGACCAGAGCTCTTCCAAACAGAGAAAGCCGAGTACGGCTCTCTCAACCTGCAATTCTGGCTACCACCTTATCCACCAAGATACTATCTTGTACTTTAGAACAATCTGAGAAGGAGACTTGAAAGCCCAGAAATTTGTCTGATGAGTTGGCCGATATCTGCCGAAGACCCCAGTCAACACACAGGTCAAGGGAGGGGGGAAGAAAAAAAACCGGCTTATCCCAATTTATTGAGGCTTCGGATAAAACACAATAGTCATCTATTATTCTACGCAGTTCTTGCATGCTAGTTGTGGTGTTCTCGCAGGCGACTGTCAAGTCATCTGCTATAGCCCCCCCCATCCAATGGAATGAGAGGGGCAAGTGAGGGCCCACAATCTGTGCATTCGTTCTAATATTTGTTAATAATACTTCTAGTTGTAATACGAAGATTAAGGGAGCCAAGGGACATCCTTGCCTAAGGGAACGAGTGAGAGTAAATTCCTCTAATTGAAGATCATTGACGAGGATTGATGCAGCTCCCTGCATTGCCCTTATCCAAGTACAAAAGTAAGTACCAAACCCCATGTTCAATAAAGTAGTATTCACGAATGCCCAACCTACTTTATCGTAGGTTTTTTCCATGTTGAGCATGAGGATGACAACTTCCCTTCTTTCTTTACCAATAATCTCCAGGGCTTGAACCGTTGCTAAGATATTATCAAAGATTGATCGCCCTTTGACAAAGGCTCCTTGTTCTCCCCCCACTAATTCCGGGAGAAAGGGGGTCAGTCGAAGGGCTAAGATCTTGGCTAATAACTTATATGTGATGTTCAAGACCGAAATAGGATATCAATTTCGTATTTCTCGTTTATCTCTTTTTTTATACATGAGCGAAATCATTCCTTTAACCATACCCTTAGTCAAAGTCCCAGAGATTCGTGTTTCGTTATAGATATCACAAAAGAATTTCCCAAACGCACCCCAAGCTGAGAGAAAGAACTCTATGGGCAGTCCATCAGGTCCAGGTCACTTCCCTTTGGCCATCCGACGAGCTGCGTGAGTCACCTCTTCTAGAGTTATGGGATCCTCCAAACTTTGATTCATCTGAGGCGATAGATTGCTCAAAGAGCAAGTCCCAAAGGGTGGTGTTCTGCCAAGTTACTGTCGAAGGAGTCAAACGGTTTCCTTGTAGTGTCTATATCTCTAAAGTATTACATGGCATATGCACATAGAGATTCCGTATCGACAGCTAACTGGGCATTGAGAGCAAAGGGGTGAACCAGTCCCCTCATCACTGGCCTGACTTTGGTCAAGATTAACGACCTGAAAGTCTCTTGAGTCATTCTGTCGTAACATATTATTCCCCTAATCTTGAGTCATTTTTGCCATTCCACGTGTTTACTCGTTTCTAGCTCATCCAGCTCGCGCAGGGCCATATTCCTCTTTGTGTACCGGTGGTATTCCAAAAAGGGGTCGTCTCCCGTGTAAGCCTCTGCTTGTTCTATTGCCATAGTTAGTTGTTTCTCCTTCCAATTTCGTGCTGCGGCTTTCATTCGTGAGAACTCGATCATCGCAGCTTGCAGAATTCCAATCCCCACATCCACCCAATCTTCCAAATGACAGACTTCCATACTTATAGCAATAGAAAACAGTAAAAGTGTCTATTCGGTTTTTTTTTTTTTTTTTTTTTTTTTTTTTTTTTTTTTTTTTTTTTTTTTAAGGTAATCCAACTTTGTATTCAAAAATGACGGTTCGAGGCCGGGGACCTCACAATTCAGCCCGGATTTATCCCGGCAGCATCAGCCGGTTCAACTTCCAGATATAAGACGGACCAGCGGGCCCGCTAAAGACCCGCTACATCCTACAGGACCCTAAGTAAACAAACCCGAGGTCAACAAGAAAACAAATTACCTACCTGAATAACACATACCAACTCAAAAGAGGCTGAGTCTATCTAAAATGTCCCCGCATAAGACCAGGGACTAACGACCCTAATCCCTTAAGGCAGAACTTCCTACCACGTAGGCTGCCCACTATTTGAAGCAGCTTCCATGCAACAAAGACAAGATCCAGAGAACTACTACCCAACTAAGTCTTCCATTCTACTGAGTAACCCTTCCTTGTATCTAGGCCTAACGACGGCCCTTTGCACCAATGGCCTAAAATCGGCCTGAATCACAAGTCATCTGATAGAAGCCATTCTGCAAACGTTAATCCGCCCTCCGTTACTTTCACCCATTGGTTCTCTCGTTCCCATGTCTGCCCAAACCAATATTTGTTTTTCCTTGAGGGGCCCCTCGAAAAGTGCCAGTCTCGACGACTAACCTGTCTGATAAGGGTCTTAATCTTAAACCACCAGTACCTCGCTCAGTGTTCAGCCGCGGGCCTTCCCGTATACGCGCCGCAGCCTCAGGCTGATCGACCAAGGGAAGGCCCGGTCGTAGC